GAAGGTTAGTTTAGCATTTTCAAATTGTATGAGGGCTTTACCTCGGACGGCTGTGAGGACCGCCGATTTGTCAGTCCCATTTTTGAAGGTGAGTACGGTGTCCCTTGTGGCCATGTCTGGGGCCCCAGCAGGTTTCGGAATCCGGAAGAGATCTGTTGGTGTTATGGCTTTAGCTTGGTCTGTGGGCAGTATGCTGGTTAGCAGGCGCTTGATCATGTGCGGTAGGTCAGTCTCCGGCAACCCCTCTGGGAGTCCCCTGACTTTGATATTGAGTCTCCGTCTTGAGTCTTCCTGGGTTGCGAAGCGCCGTTCATGCAGCATATTTTGGCTGCGCAGGTCCTGAATGTCGCTTCTCAGTGAGGCGATAGTGCTCTGCTGTTCTTGGGAGGTGGCCTCCAGTACTGCTATGCGCCCCGTCAGGCCCTGCAGCTCTCCCCTTAGTGCGGTGACATCCGCAAGGATGTTTTTTTGGAGGTCGGCTAGTAGGGTCTTTAACACCCAAGTGGTTACCAGGTCGGCATCTGGGTCCTTCCTTGGTTTGCTGGGTTTTGCCCTGGGCTTTGGGTCTGGGGTTAGGAGGCATTCATCTTCAGCTCCCTCTGAGTAGCCATCGGAGAAATCCGAGCAGCCTCTGTGGAGCGCCGCCATATTGGATCCGCTCGGGCCGCATGCTTGCCGCCACATTTCCCCTATTGTGAGTCCTGGGGCTGGATTATCCGGCATCTGTTTCTTGTGTTTGCGTCCCATTAGGGCTTAAGGGGTTCCCGCCTTCAGTTAGTGGTTGTGGGGGGTAGTGTCGGTCGATTTTGAGCGTATTTTCGTCCGTTTTTGCTCGGAGCTCCTTAGACTTGCGTCTGCTTGCCTCCGCTGTTAGGCTCCGCCCCAATTGCCCCTAGTTTTAATGGCGATTAGAGCTACACCTAGCACTGCTACCAAATTGTCACCTTTTGAATTGATGACAGGAAGAAAGATGGTTTTACCACAGCATTTACTATATCGTACTTCGGATCATAACTTGATCAATGCTGCCACTACGCATCAATATATCGAAGATTTGCGCAAGCATTTACAGCATGCATTTGCTTTTGCTCAAAAGAATCTAGAAAAAGCAGCGACAGGGGTTAAGACCTATTACGATTTAAAAACCACGAAAAAGGAATATGAGATAACAGATCAAGTCTATCTGTATAACTTTGCGCGAAATCAAGTTAAGGAAAATAAATTTTTACCTTCTTGGAAAGGACCATATGTCATCATTGACAAAATTTCCCCAGTAGCGTACAAGATAAAAATTCCTAAGGATGGTGATTTTATTGAAAAGTGGGTTCACATTAACCAGTTGCGTGCTTGTCATCCTAAATCTCAATTAAGGATTATAGGTGTGGATTCAGATGCAGAAGGATGAACGACTAACCTGGATGAATGCTTGATTCACATGGTATAGTATGATGTGAATTGTTGTGATGTGCCATGATCTCATGTACGTTCATGTCATTAACCATTTCCTTGCCATCCAATAACTACATTTTATAAGGTTACTAGCTTGTTTAACTGCTATAGGCAAATTGCTGAAGAGTCAGTAATAAATGTAGTGAGGGATGAAGTTATAAAAATAGAATTAGAGAGAATACATATGTTGATGAATCGTAATAATGTGTTGTCCTAGGCCAAGTGATATCACACTGTTATAAGTTTGTATGCTTAACAAACCTTGAATCATTAGTAGATAAGTCTGAAACGAGTTCCTGATCCGTGACTGTCGAAAGATGTCCAAGAAGGATGTGACGTGTTTCTGGATCGTACTGCTCCTGTGCCAAGAGCTACGGACCGACCCGATCGCAGAGATGGGACCATCCTCCGGCATCCTGATTCAAGAGACACCAGGGTTCATCTTAACAGAGAAGAGGATCCTGACCCGACGTGTGTTCGTCAGCTTGGACCCCAAGATTTCCATCGAGAAGGCATACAACATTTCATCGATGCAGCTTCCTGAGTTACAGACTTGGTACCAGATGCACCTCCAAAGAGCACAGGACCGTGTGCGAAACATCTTGGAGCAAGCCCGGAAACCATTTGTATCCAGTTCTATTCCGATGAGCAACCGACCCAAAAGGTTCCTCACCGCTATAATTGTTGCATTAGTTTGTGCCACTGTCGGTGCAGTTGTCGCAACTGGAATGTCTGCAGCCAACTCTATTACTGTCCAAAAACTGGATATGGAAATCTATGCGCTAAAGCAACACATTAACGATATTCATCAGGTGATACAACAGCAAAGAACACTTCTCCAAGACGTGTTAACTATTGTGGAAGACACAGTTGTTACAACAAATTTGCATTCAGAGTTAATTGCCAAATCCACTGAGTTGCACCAAAGTCATGACTTATTTAAGCGTGAACTTTTATTTCTGCATGACCCAATATTGTTCCACACACTTGCTTTTCTCGACGAAGTGCAAACTGGAATGATCGAATTGGCAGGGGGACGCATACCTCTGTACTTTGTATCCAAGGATATTGTTCATGCGATGCTTGCCAATGTGGATGGAGAGACAATTAAGTCTATGCAATTAAATCTGGCCTTTGAGATGGGGAGCGCTATACCTCTCTTAATTAATCCGGAACGTATGGAGATTTGCTTTTTATTGACCATACCATATGTAACTCCCAAAGACATTTTTCAAATGAAAATAATGTACTATGTTAATAATGATTTTATGGTTGATTGTACTAAGTGTAAAGTTCAAAACTTTTACAGGTACAAATTATACAAAAATGTTCATTCCACACACGGGCCTATGTTAGAAATGATGTGATTGCACAATATGTCTGATAACTTCTATAGTGCTTATTCATAAGCTAAATTAATTTTGGCTATGAAATGCACTAAAGGGGGGTTATGTCAGAGTATTTATATCGGCAGACATTTTGTGCTATGATAGAAACTAAAAGTGTATATTCTGAGTCACTCTGAACAGATCAGACTCCATTTTGTTATTTTCAAAAAAACAAAGAGACACAGGATTTCTTTCTGTAAGACTGGCCTCTTTGCCAGAGCTAAGGAATGCATAGTATATACAAGCCAAGTGATAAGGAAGGGGGTTGGACAGACTGTCTAAAATGCTAATGGAATATAATCAAATCTAAACCCAGACAATTGTGACAGAGAAGATTAAATAATTTAATATTTAACTGTCTATATATATAAGGTACCATTGTATGGAAAAGGGTAAACTTAGTTCATGATCTGTCATATCAGAAATTATGGCAGGAATTGCAGACGCTAAGTCTGGACAAAATTTAAGAAACCCTTTGAAATTTTAAATTATGGCGCTATAAAGATAACGCAAAATGACGTCAAAATAGCCACCAGGAAAAGTTAACTCTTTCCTGGATAGGTATGTTTAGTGGGACAAGACTGCCCTCTACAGACCAAATAACTAATTTGCGATCTGGAAGATAACCACACCTCTAGTGCTTCTATTGGGTTATCAACTGATGACGTACAGAGAGTCTGGCCCTTTAAAAGTTAAGACAAAGGGAAGATAGATACGAGAGGAGGCAGATGCAAGATATGCAAAGGAGAGGAGAGAGGAATTGGAAGTTTGGGGACTCCAACTCGGACAACATCTGAGACTAACACTCTACTCCTAAAACTCTAACACTTAGAATTTACTGACTTTCTAACCAACACCTCCATGCAGAGAGACTACCAATCGGATGAAATATCTACTCAACTGGTAATTATACTGGTTTCATTTAATTAAATTAAATTAATTAAAATGTATTAATAGCATTATATATGACTGGATAAAGCACGGTCAGATTTCCATATTAAGAAATCTTAGTTAACTAAGAATATATAGTTATAAACATTCCATTCTGCAGGTGGAATTAAGAATAATTATATATTGATGTGATATTATCACGTGTTAGCATACCGCTGTTTTTATCCAGGTGTATTGATTTGCTCTAAATTAAGATAGATATCTTTTAGACAAATTAAAAATCTGCTTATATAATATGTAGATTCTCTTATTGGATTGTTTTCAGGAAATGGCTAATTAACTGGGTTAAATGTTATTTTATTTAAAATGACATCAGAATAGATCTTAACTACCTAGGAGATCTAGCCAGCATTGAAAGGGTTATTCTAACTGTCGGCTAAACTTTACGACCTTACGCTGCACTCTGAGGAATTCTGTTCTTCGCTGTGAAAAGTTTCACTTAAGTCTGTGTTAAGGATACCTCATAAATCGTCAGAATTCTTGACAGAAAATGCCGTTTAGCCATTGAAACGTAATACCCATTTCTTTGTATTGCATATCATTTTATACTGAATATTCATTGATTATTGTCATGCATGTTACATAATATTATTTGTTAATTATTGGTTATCATAAATAAAATCTATTTTTATACATTGTGATATTAATTATATGAAATACATTCCACTTAACACGATAAACGTTCTTTGGGATCTGAGAATTGAATTAGTGGGCAATTCTCACTGTTACTATTATTATCCCATAAATATCCCCACAAGATACGGTCTCCAGTACTGCGTACAATGCTCCAAGTGAGGCCTCACCAGTGTTCTGTACAATGGCATGAGCACTTCCCTCTTTCTACTGCTAATACCTCTACCTAAACAACCAAGCATTCTGCTAGCATTTCCTGCTGCTCTATTACATGGTCTGCCTACCTTTTAGTCATCAGAAATAGTGATGTCCCGAACGGTTCGCCACGGACTCATCATTGAGTAAACTTTGACCCTGTACCTCACAGTCAGCAGACACATTCCAGCCAATCAGCAGCAAACCGTTCGGGACATCACTAATCAGAAATAATCATCCCTAAATTCCTTAAATTCAGCAAGCTCTGGGGAAAATTGGGAGAGAACATATGTTTATATTTGAGCATGACAAAGATTCGTATGACAAAAACGACACATCAAAATATAAAAAGAATGTTTATTTTGTTGTACAAGTACCCTATCCATGTACATCATTCTTTGATTAATATAATATACTGCATCAGTAGAAAGACTGAAATTCATATACAAATAATACACTCTATAGTGAGACTATGCTCAAAATAATCCAAAATAGAGCATCAAATCTGACAATGCTGATGGAGGCATGGTTTCAATAATTTGTCTATAGAGTTGCAGTGTCCCTACTGTGGGTTAACAAAGAGGAATAAGAAAGTAAACAAAAATAAAATTAAAAAACACATGAATTTGGAAACAAACTTGACTTGTCATTTTAAGATTAGAAACACTTCAGGCCGCTGCTGATCAAGATTAACTTTTATAGGAAAATGACTTACATTGCTGAATCAAAAAAAACAACTAGATGGTCTGGCCACATGTAAATTTCTCAAAATAAAATGCCAACATATTTTTTAATAAACGTTATTGAAAAGTTATCTGTTGATGTCGTTTTCATTATTACTTTTTGCTATGTTATTATAATGAAAGATGTGATGCTTGTGTTGAGTTACAGGTGGTTGATGTTCATTTCAAGTTAGTAAACCATGACATACACACAAAATGTTAACTAATTCTTGCACAGAAAGCTATAGGACGGTAGTGGTAGGGAACCACTACCCAGAGAGGATTTATTGGCCTCTGCAGGTGGATCAGATCTCTGAATCAAAGTTTATAATATGTGTCTCCTCTAGAGAGTTTTTTTAAAAACAGTATTCATTATCACCTGGTCAATGGTTTGATTACGGAGATAATCAAATTTAGTAACAAAGTGGTGGTATTGACTGGGGAAACAAATTTCACAACCGTACAAATTAAATTATAAGTAACTAAACTTCCTAATCTATCAGATTATATTCAGAGTACTCTTCCCTAACAACTGTCTGATGCTAGCAGTCTGCCACATTAGCCAATAAATAGATTGCATTTTGAGTTTATCATGACATTACTTCTTTAGCTTTTTCTGTGCAGCTTTCTTCTTCACCATTTGCAAGCGCTTCATTGCATTCAATTGAGATTCCTGAGATGTGGGGCCTTTTGCTCCAGACTGCTGATTATTGGGGTCCACGGTCGCTTTGCTACTACTGCTCCCACTGTTTCCTGAAGAATTGCCTCCTCCATTTCCACTAATCAGTTGACTGCTGCTGCCAGATGTGTTTGTGCTTGGACTGGGCAGGCTGGTTTTGCTGACATTGTCACTACTCAAGGAATGACTGAGACCAGGTTTGCCAAGTATAAGAGGTGGCAGAGGTTTAAATGGGATGGTATTAGAGGTGTTGCTGCTAGATCCAGTTTTAGACACTGAACCAGTTTTAGAAGTGGCCATTCCAGATGTACCTGTAGGTTTCTGTCCTGCAGAAAGTGCAGGCGGCTTCCCACTGCTAGACGGTGCTGTTGAACTCAACTTGGCTGATACTGGCGCAGCACTTGCAGTTTTGGCCCCAAATGCAGCCCATCCTGTGAGGCCACTTGCAGCTGTAGATGAGGCTGCAGAACTTGAGGAACTGGAGGACACTGCAGCTGATACCTTAATTCACGACAAAGTAAAAACAAGTATTGGTAAATAATAGCAAGAAACATACTCATCTTGTACAATTGTAAACCCATGATAAAGAATTATAAGGACAACTTTTTCAGTGGAAAATATGAAGTAGGATTAGGGAATACTAAAGCGTTATTTATAATGCTAGACTGTTGTTTAGACTTGTGGGCCACCTTCAAAACAAAGATGTTAATTCCCTTTAATCTAGCAGTGAGAGGGTCTCCTTGCCGTGGTAGATTATTTCCCAACCAATCTGATGCTTCTCTATTAGAAGCATTATTTTCCACTTTCTGTCCCAGTACAGAATCAGGAAAAGTGCCTTGCTGGCTATGTGACTGACAGCTGGGAGAGGGGAAAGAAGAGTGTGCAAGAAGGGACACTGTGCAAGCTGAAGGCTAAAGCACAGACGTCCTATTAGAGGATAAAACCACAACTTTCTTAATATGTGGAATACCCGCTCAATCCAACAGCATTTGTTCATTTGTTTACACTGTTTATTCTATCCTTCTATTAAAGACTTTTTTTTTTTACTCAGAAAAGAAAAATGTTAGTGTCAGCCAACAATGATTTGTTTAAGAAATTGGCAGTAGAGTTGGTGTGAAAGAGAATATTCACAAGGAAAACCATACAATTTACGCAGCACACACATTTATGTTTTTCCCCATTGCTATCGCTTGGAAAAATATTACCTGCCAGATGGCACACATACGCCTTTCAAAAATGAAAAAAAAGGCTTGTTTAAAATAGAATGGCTATAATAACAGCATCTTCTTCCTAAATTAGAACTTCACCATGAGTGGACATATTAATCTGCAAATCTCCTGTACAACCATAACTTGCAAAATTATTTTACTGTGTTGTGCAAACACGGAGATAATCTACACTAACACTATACAGCAGACTGACAAGTTTACCCAGAATTACCATCAAGGTACTGTGGAAGCACCAAGAAACAGTTTTACAACTAGCAACTACTAATGCAGCACAGAAAATGTCAACATTTCCTTGAGAATCTTAAAAATCTTGATTAAGACTTTAAATTCTTATAGTAGAAAGGAGATGCAAATAAATAGCAACTCCGAATAACAGCCACTGCTCTATATTAATAGAGGCTCTCTGACAAAACAAACCTGAGAGTTCAACTAAATAATATACAGTAGATCATTCATCACTCACCACCGAACAGAAACATTAACCAGCAGATAATCTCCCTTCCCCAGGTAATTCATTCTGGGACACAGTACCGTACTTTGTGTGATGTCAGACTGGCTGGACTTAGCAGTGGACAGTCATTCCAAGCTGCTTTGACAGGTAAAAAAAAACATGTCTCTCTCTTTATCAGAAATGCATGTGGAACTTGGAGGGAAAGGACAACTTGAATGGATGAGAGGCAGCAAGAAAAATTGGTTGGATGCAGATAAGAAAGAACAGCAGGAACTGGCACTAGATAGGTGAAGAAGGTGGCATAACATTTTTTCATGGTGTACCTATAAATGCTAGTTCTCACTTGATCCTACTGCTAAAGTGTATATGATTTATTTAAAGGCTGTTTCACTTGCTCGTAAAAAATCTTTAAAAGGACTCCTGTAATGTTAACTATAAATATATTTATGTTTAACCTTTGGGTATTCCTTTACTGTACTGGATTTAGGGCATCACCCCTTTAAAAATATAAAAAATGAAGGAAAAAGCAATTAGCCACACATGTAATCTGGGGGAGGTAGTCTCCCCCAGCAACCACTCCACCTTCTCTGAGATGAACATATTTGATAATCTTGATCCAAAGCAAAGCTTCTCTTAGACAAGATGCTCAGTGTAAACAAGTGGTGTTGGATGACGCATGAACATAAAGAAAATCAAAGATCTTCAATATGAAAGCTCAGATAAACAGCCACTAAAAGTTATTGAAAATGAAAACATGGCCTTTTCTCAGACAGCATTGTTTTACAGAGCCAGATAAAAGGGACGGGACCTTTGGACCAAAACCCATTCATTAAGACGTAGTGATTTTGGCATCTAGGGTGTCCCGTGCTGAATTTCTAAAAAGCCTAACCAAAATACAGTCCTTAAAATATCTCCCAGAATAGAGGACGAATGTCAGGCACATTTTGAATATCAATATTTAAAACAAGAAAACAATTGTAGCTGCTACAATTAAATAGCAGATATCAGTTCTACGATGTAAATATGCTTTATGGAGCTATATATATATATTAATATATGTATATATAAAATACAAGAACTGATTAAGATTTTTATCTTATAATATACACATTCTGCATTTCACATTAAATTAAGAAAAACCATACCTTAACTTCTGCTCTTTTAAATGCTAAAAATGTGTTTGCAGAATCTGGCTTGGGTTTCTGTTCAGGTTTGCTGATGGATGGATCCTTTACAACTGGTAGAACTGTAGTTACTGAGGACGGCACAGGCTTTTGAGAGGGCTTCTGATTCTTTTGTGCCTGAATAATACATGGAACATAGAAATAGAAAACAAAACCTACAAGACCCTGTATAGAAACACATACACAGACTAGCTATAGTTTTTTGTTTTTTTGCTTCAGATGGTAACCCTTTTAGCAAATACATAATATGGTTTATTGAACAGAGCAAAATACACCAAATGTAACCTTTTTAATGATACACTATCCATCTCAGATGATCTGATTTACTGAAACTAAATAAAACAAATACAATGCAATATCACATTCTGGTCGCCTTTCCCTACTCTTAAATTTCTGAAAAGATTTTTTTTGTAAATTTTGGACCACAGAATGCCTACCATTCTTTTCATTTGCCTGGTACAGCGGGCACAATACCAGACAAGACGAGGGTCATTCACATCCTTATCTGTGACCTGGGGTTTGTGGCAGTCCTGATGGTACAGATTGTGGCATTCCTGGCATTCAACCAACACGTTACCAGAGAATACAGTCATTTGTCTGAAAACGACAAGTTTGATATTTTAGATAATCATTAAACATTAAAATTGCACAGTGCATTGGATTTTCTCGGCTACAGCTGTTTGATACCTGCTATAATACACCTTCTATGAGAGTATAGGGTAGCAAGATCAATTAATCTATAAGCAACCAGCCAGTGTAGTAAAATCCAAATCAAAATGTGTTTCACAGGGCATGAAAAACTATGTGATAAAATAGAGTATACAAAAAATGGTGCTTCTTGTTTTACTTGCACATTGCAAAGTTATGTGTCCAAGTTAACCATTATCCAACTTATTAATAGATCACATAAAATCTACGTTCTCAATAGAAAAATAATATTAAAAAAAATCATCACAAAAAGAAAACTGAACGGACTGTACAAACTCACCGGCACACAACGCAGGCCAGGCCCATCTCCATGGC